GCTCCAGTGAACGACCGGTCACCTATAAATTTGTGACAGTCATGCGTACGGCAGGCTAAGATTTTTGTGCAATCACATAATGCAATATTACCGCTCCAGCCGACGCCCTTTTCCCTTTGCATGTAGGAAAAGACCAAAATGTGTCAAAATGTAACGCGTCTAGCATGAGTCCACGTATTAAACTATAAAGTCACGCAGTTAATGATCTGACTGCTTCATGTTTGGCGCAAAAATGTGGGATCGCGCCAGTAAACTTGATGTTGTTCCAGCTTGAATTATTTGATTGTCCCGGCCATTCGCGTGAAATGTTAGCTCTTTAGCTTTTTTCGTTCCCGGGTTAGTGGTTTTCGTGCCAAAATCTCCACGCGCCCCTACGTGGGCACCGGGCGCTTCCAGGCACCTGATTTTGGTCGTACATGAGTAGGAGACACTACTCTAAAGTTCCGGCTTTCTAGCTTTTTTTTTCCTGGGTCAGTAATTTTCGCGTCAAAACTTCCCACTGCTCCCGCCCTTCCTACTCCTTCCCCCCTCGCGCCAGCCTCTTCCCTGTCCCCATCTTCCTCACGCCCTCTCTATTTACTTTTGAAGAGGTCGCTGATATGTTAGGAGCAGGAGGTAATAATTAGAGGTTAACAGGTCAGAATAAAAGGAAGTGGCATCTTAATAACAATTAAGCTCCACACGGACAATATCAGAGCGATCTTCGTAGTTTTTTCGATATGCCTCCTTCTGAAGGAGTTTGAGTTATCGCTGTCGAAGCTTTTGGAAGAAAAACTTAATTTAAAATTACTGACAGGCATGTGTTGATTATGATATTTTCTCATCGTATGACTGAAAGCACTCGAAAAAATTTTCTTTTAAGGGTGTAATGTTCGGGACGAGGAGGAGAGCCTGGAGCTGGGAGGCCTGCCTGGCAGCGGGAAAGTACAACACCAATTAACACTTCTTTGTTGGCACAATCACCCAAAAAAAAAAGAAAAAACAATTAGGGAACAAAACAAACTAGCCCGGCAGCAGCTCCGAGCTGCTACCGACCACGCGAAATAATTACCGCGCACTTCCACATTTCAGCGAAACCAACAGTTACACTAACAATTTCATTTTCAATCATCGCATTAAATATCACGGAGGGGGAACTCGAGCCAGGAGACGGGACATTTGCATATTACAGGAAACCGAAGGGCAACTGGACAAGGCGAAAGGGATTGAGCCTCCAACTTCGCTTCCTTGTAACTCGCTCCTTCTTCCTTTTACAACAAGGGAACTTTATCGGCGGAGCTTATTTTGGTGAATATTGGGTCAAAATTCGAGTGTTCTTAATTTTTCTTGCTTTTCAGGTGACAGAAAACATTTGCCTGGAACCTGACGAGGTACACGTCTGCTTCAAGATGCTAATCAGGCATATGCCAGGAGGCTTTACTTTCGAATTTGGCTATCTCAAAGGTTCAACAAAAAATTTTACAGATATAGTCCATTTTTTGCAGTACTTTCTTCCATCCAATTTCCACCAAATCCTACAGCTGCAGCAACAGAATTCTGCTACTGAACAGCCTATGGAGCAGGATTGAGAATTTGCCCACATTCCATACATTTGAGGATTGCTTTTCATTTTGTTTCAAATTATTTCTTGTAAATTTCTTGGATTTTTTTTTTCTTGTAAGAGTTTCGAATTATCTTCTCCGTTCCCTCTCTCTCGCACGAAATCGAATTGCTCACTTTACTGCCACAGAATTCCAGTAATTCTGATAATGGAACGAAATGCACATGTTATAAGTAATATTTTGCTTATGTGAACTTAGTCACTTTTATCTCGAAAAGTGTTTCTGATAATTTCTGAGGAACTTTTGAATCAGCAAAATTTCTGGGCTTCTGACAGGTTTTTGTTTCAACTTTTCCCTCCTAATTCGCGGCTTTTTGGAAGAAATGTCCAAAAAAAGTGCTGGCCTCTTCCACTAGTAAGAGATCTCACGGAACGATAACATACAAGTTTTGAGCCTTATTTTATCCATTATCATGTGGTGATGATGTTGCAAAAGTTTGGTGCTTATATTGTTTTTGATGTTTCTTTTTTTTTTTGCATTTTATAAATGTTGCAGAATTTTTTTCTGGTTTTTGACATTTACGTGTTATACTCACAGCAACATATTCTTTGAAATGAGTTGCAGAAATATGTAGCACATTAAGTATTTCAATGAAAACGAAAGCGGAAATCGGAAAAATGAACGCCAGGGGTCAACAACAAGGTTGATCACCTTCATCGCCGCAATCATTACCTGACAAGATTTTTTTCCTCTTGCCTAAGAATAGTTTGAAGCAGTCTGGCAGTGATCTTGTTTTCCTGTACCAATTTTTATCCCATTACCGATTTTTTTAATGTCAGCACCAATGTCCCAGTTTTAATTTTTCCTCGTTTCGAATCAATGAATCGTAGGAAAATTTCGATTGCCTTTTGTTTTTTGGTGTTTTTTGGTGTGTGTGTTGGTGCATCATACATGTTAATCTGAAAAGTTTGAAGAAATTTAAGGGGATTTTCTTGTTCCACTGTTTTTACCATGCTAGATGGGGAGTTGCAAGACGAAGCGAAGGCGAAAGCAGTAAATGAGATCATTGCGGAGCTAATCACAAAGCACAAAGATGGGAAGGATGTGGATCTCAATCGTCTCAAATGTATCGTATCGTCGCGTCATGGCCTGAGCCATCAGCCCAAGCTGGTGGATATCATTGCTGCAGTGCCAGCGGAACACAGGGTATCACTTTTCATCTTCAGAATTATCCATATTTTCATATACGTTTCGACACATTAGCATCGGGGCCAAAAAGATGTCAATGCGGGGCTATCGGTGTAGGTATCTCACTTTAGTGAATTGTTCCCATACCCCAGGAATTGCTAATAGGAAAATACGTAAATAGTGCATTAGTAGATAGGAGATTGAGAAGTAACAGATTAAGCAAAGAATTAAAGGGATCTCGATCGCTAGGCTGCTGCTCACCTTCAGTTAGTATCCACTGCTTTTTTGGTTTACGATGAATGAAAATGATCGTAAGACCACGGAATGAGAAAATGAAATAGATAGTGAAACGCATATTTTTATTAATAAAAGTTAAGAAGATGTAAGGAGGACATGTAGGGAAACTAAATGTGAACCTGGCTGTCTGTATTTCATCTCTAAGGCACAAACACAGACAGTATGCGGTGTGGATTGGAGTGGGAATCATCAGTGCAGCCCCCAATCCACCATATGGAAATTTTGATAACAAATTTTGATAAATTACCACATTTTTGGGAATGCTCGAATAGTTGTCTTATTCATGGGTGTTATTTACCAATGCGCGGCATGGCGCCAGCAGCAAGCACGGCGTCTCATACGCTCGGCTCATCGAATTTTACTTTCTTGCATGCTCACAGTGATATCTTGCACGCCACTCATCTGACGAGGAGATTGATTGTTCACACGGCTTCTGAAAAATACGCAAAGTATTTTATGAGATATACAAATTTGAGAGTTCTAATTTTAAGAAAATTAATTGATTTTATTTTATTATATTAGAGCGTTTATTCGAAAGAGATTGTTTTTAAGATAAATCTGTGGATATGAAAATTACGATACTGTAGTACTGTTAGGTGTCAAAATATTTTGTTTCTTCAGAATCTCATTTATCATAATTTTTCGAATTTTGTACCGTGCCGAAAGAACTGTCTTCTTTATTAACCGTTATTTTCAGAGTTGGCTTTTGCCAAAGTTAAAAGCCAAGCCAATTCGAACAGCGAGTGGTATTGCTATTGTTGCTGTTATGTGTAAACCTCATCGTTGCCCGCATATTAATTTTACCGGTAAACCTTACATTGTTACTTTTTAGAAGGTTTCAGCTTACCTCAAAAATTTTTGAAAGAAAAAAATCACCGAAATCATTAACAGGTTGATTATCAGAAGACGCAGTAAGGTCAGAGCATCTGGAAAATTTGCTATCTGTAAAGTTGAAAAACGTAGCTGTTGATCAAAGTTTATGAGATTTTTATTACGAATTCATGTAGCATGGATTCAGTTCAGCCGTAACTAATTAGAGCTAAAACTAAAAAAAAAAAATTAGAACTAGAAAACTGAAATTTGAATTAAAAAATAACTGAATTAATTGCTGTAGACTTAATTTAGGTAATATCTGTGTATATTGTCCCGGTGGTCCAGATTCCGATTTCGAGTACAGCACGCAATCCTATACGGGTTATGAGCCAACCTCAATGCGTGCTATCCGTGCACGCTATAATCCCTTCCTGCAAACGAGAAGCCGCATTACACAGCTAATGCAACTCGGACATAATGTTGATAAAGTTCGTTTTGTTCCATTTATGTAGTGAACAAAATTTTCAGCGCTTGCCGCCCAGCTGAAGCTAACTGAAGGCACTGTACTTGGTGTCAGGCTTTTTTGTGGAAGTTTTATGTTTTTCTGTTCAACAAATTTACAGCCCTGATTTTGGCATGGTTACTCAGTAGCGACCTAACATTCAGTCTGAGAATTCGGCATTAATTGTGAATATTTGAATTAAAAAATAGCTGAATTAATCGTTTTTGCCTAATTTAGAGGTCATATCTGTGTATATACATTCATGCGTAGTCTACACTGTGTTAGCCCTTTCGAACCTGAACTTGTCCAGGTAAGATTCGCCGTCTCTCTGACCTACGTATGCCACATTTTTGGAGACAATTCGAGTGGTCGTTTACTCTTTTATCCATCTGATTTGTGCCATTCACTCGTAAGGGCGTGCTTCAGTTGTTAGCAAAAAAAAGCGTTAAAATCCCTGTTGATTGGATTATGCTTTCTTGATTGGTGGCGGTTATAACTTACATAGACAACAGATGGCCTTACAAGCATCCTTTGCTCCATTACATTCTCTATATCACAACCAGCTTTCGCCAGTAATCAAGTTTCGATCGTTACATCATTTTTTTTAACACAATTGTCTCGAAATAGGCGCATTTAATTCTGATCAACATTTTGAGAATATCAGCAGTGCTTTAGAATTTACGTCGATTGGTAACTTCTTGACTGGTAGTTTTCGGCCAAGAAATACGGCTGACTTTCGTTTTTTGGTCAAGATAGACGTAACTGTCAATTTCTTCCGAGGCAATGCCGCCCAAAGGCGTGCCAGCACTTTTCGTGGATTTTTTCGTGGCGTTGTGACAGTGTTGAAAGAAATTTTTTCTTTTTTCTCCTTTCCTCATCATTTTTTTACGCAGGAAATTTTTATCTATAATTGGCAGTCTGTTTTTTGTACTTTTACAGCACTTGGAAATTAATTGCAGAGATATTACTGGAGCAACAAATGTCTTATTTAGCATTCTTTTTCTGATTTACTAGCATTTTTCATTGATATCTGAAATTTTTCCGAATAATGCGCCTTTTTCAGATCGAATTTATAGTAATGGGAGGTACATTCATGTCGTTACCAGAGGACTATCGAGATTATTTCATTCGAAATCTCCACGATGCTCTTAGTGGTCACATTAGCACTAATGTCGCAGAGGTATTTTATTTTTTTTTTGTTTTGAATATTATTCAATTTTCGAAATTTCGATTAATTTTCAGTCTGTATGCGAGCGTGTTACATCCTTTTTTAAGCGCAACAAATTTGAGAAGCGGAAGACCAGTAATTCTTTTTCGCAATTGATTTTCTGGAGAGTAATTTTTTTGTGATATGGAGTTCCTGCACCGATTGTTCGAACAGTCTTTCATGTCAAAAAACGTTAAGATTTCCTCTTCTGAAGGAGGAACGTAAAATTTCATCAAATGCGCGAAGAAAGCAAAATTCGCTCTTCCAATTATTATTTCCTTTTTATGCTTTTTTATATTGTGGGCTTTTTTCGCGCTTTCAGCGAAACTTTGAAATTTTTCGATTAACTCCCTCCTTCACGAAAAACCTTTTTAACAGTTGTTTCATCGACAGGCAGTAGCGTTCAGTGAGCGAAGTCGCGTGAAATGTATTGGTATAACAATTGAAACACGGCCTGATTACTGTCAACCGAAGCATCTCGATGAGATGCTGAGCTATGGCTGCACGCGATTGGAAATTGGAGTGCAATCAACGTAT